TATGTGACAAGAAGTTTACGAGAAATTACAATTTGAACTCTCATCTAAGGACGCATGCGAATGAGAGACCCTTTGAGTGTACCCTCTGTCATCGTACATTTGTAAGACAGTACGATATGAACCGCCACATGGCTCTACACAGCGGCGAGAAGAAGTACGAATGTCGTGGTACCTTAAAGGATGGTGTCACCGTTTGGGGATGCGGAAAGAGATTTGCCCGTACTGATGCACTAGGAAGACACTTCAAAACGGAGGCTGGTAAAGAGTGTATTAGACCACTAGTTGAAGAAAACGAGCGGGAGCGGATGGCTCAGAAGGAAGCTAACCCTGAACAAATAGAAGAAAAGTCGTGATAATAGTTGTCATTGCTGTTGTTGAAAGACCTGTTTTTATGTTCTTTTGAGCGTGTGTGTGACGTATTTTTTGCCCGGCCGTGGTGGAAGAGGTGGGGCGCAGAAAAGGTGATGGCGGTGTTGGCTCTTTTTGCCCCAGACAGCAAAAAATTTGTGGTGCTGGTTAAGCCGTCTCGGTACAACCCCAATCAACGCTTTAAACAATAGCAAGAAACGCCGTAGAATTCCACGAAGAAGATGCCCCAGCTCCGTCAAATCCACACATCACAGCCGTCCACATCAAGTGCAATCGATCGCAGCGTTCCAGACTTCCCGGTTGCTGCTGTTGACGACGAGAGCCATTACTTTGCCTCGAATGAACCACCTGAGTACCTCGATGAGCTGGTGAAGGAAGCACAATGCTTTGTTGACGAGCACAAGTCCAAGGGGAACAAGGTTGTATTGGTGACCTCTGGTGGTACCACAGTTCCACTGGAGAACAACACTGTGCGGTTTATTGACAACTTCAGTGCTGGAACCAGAGGAGCCACGAGTGCTGAGTACTTTTTAGAAGAGGGCTACGCCGTTATCTTCCTACACAGGGAGTTCTCGCTGCTTCCTTACTCAAGACACTACTCACACACCACGAACTGCTTCTTGGACTACATGGCCGAGGGCAAGGACGGTTCCTTGGTCATAGCAGATAAGTACCGTGATGAGATGCACCAAGTCTGGAAGAAGTACAACGAGGCGCGTGACAAGAACCTGTTGCTGCTACTACCTTTCACTACCGTGAACCAGTACTTGTTCTCTCTGCGTGCCATTGCTCAGGTGATGGATACCCTAGGAACAAGTGCACTGCTATACCTCGCAGCAGCAGTCTCTGACTTCTTCATCCCTGTCTCGAGAATGCCGGAGCACAAGATCCAAGCACAAGATCACATGGAAGGGGGTAAGCTGGTTGTTAACCTCGACCCAGTGCCCAAATTCCTACGTCGTCTGGTTGATAATTGGGCTCCTGGTGCAATGATCACCAGCTTCAAGCTGGAGACGGATAAGGACTTGCTGTTAAGAAAGTGCACGCAATCTCTGGAACGCTATCACCATCAACTCGTCATTGGTAACTTGCTCCAAACTAGAAAGAAAGAGGTTGTGTTCGTGACCAATACCAAGCAACAATGGTACAGGCTGAAGGATGGTGATGGCGAGAACAAGGAGATTGAAAGCTTGATCATCCCAGCTGTCATCCAGCAACACGATGAATACATCAAGAACCACGCATAACGCTCCCCATACGTATACGCATACATCCTTATGATACACTACACATGTACGCCCACGTGCACTATATATAATGATCTCTGCAAACCTATGTATGTACACTATTGAATAGTTAAAGGCATCACATGAATTGTAGTCCAATTCCATATTGGAATCCCTTCCGTAAAGCATCGTGTTCATGAGCAACCAACGGCAGCACGAAGTTGAGCTCCAGACGAGCCACTGGGTGCTTGAACACAACACCGAATCCACACCCGACAGATGGATGTGCCAGATCGTTCAGCAGCTTCAAGAGTGGCTCATTATGGTCCCATGGAACTAAAGAGCCAAAGTTCACGAAGGAGTGAAGCTTTAACCCACTAGATTCTCTAATGAAGGGGAATCTTGTGAAGACACTCACGCCACCGCTTATAAAGGCATCGCCTCCCAGAGAATCGCCCTGGTCTCTAGCACCCAGCCCATTGTAGAAGAAAGATCTCACATCGTTTGGTCCTCCCAGGTAGAATCTGTCCATCACGTGCGAGTAGTCGTCCTGTGTGTATAGCCAACCACCTCTCAGAGAGCAGTTCAAGATGTTGCTGTTGGAATTGGTGGCCCAATTGGCCTCGAAGGTCTGCTTGAGGAAATGTGACGTGGAGAACTTGGATAGTCCAGCAATTTCGTTCTGTAAGCCGAGCTTCCAGCCCGTCGTTGGAAGCACCTTATCATCTCTCGTATCAATATTGATATCGTAGCCCAGAGAGACCTTCAAATCGTCGCCAGCATGTGCCAATATTGTCTTTGAAGGGGCCAGGGAGTACGGTTTGACTGAGCGTATCACAGATTGAAGACTCCACTCCTGTGTGACGCCATTGACATCCTGTGATATCTTCGTCTTCAGACCTTTCAGCACTTGTTCGTGAGATGACCAGTCAATGTTCCTACTGGTTGCATATGCCGATGTATCCCATCTCCACGTGAGAGACTCGTTGAACGGAGCGTTATAGTTCACCAGGTACGACGACCTCGTCCGTGTGCCAGTGGTGGCGTCGACGATGAAGTTCTCGCCGCCTCCAAAGATGTTTCTCCACTGGAATGTCATATAACCATCACCTTCGCCGTTGCCAACGTTGGTGCCTGTTTTCGCCATGAACTTGTTTATTGGGATCAGTTTCAGCTTTGGCTGCACCACAAGCACGCCACGGTTTGAGCTCATACCATTGATACAGACAGCAAGGTCCTTAACAGCGCCTGATGATCTCAGCGTGTCATTCATGGCATTCACTCCAAGCATCAGCGACTGTAGGTTCTTCGCCTGGATCAGAGGCTGAATATGACGGGCGATGAAATCGTCTCTGAGGTGCTCTGTCCCTTCAACAACAACGTTGACGACCTCGCACCCCCTCGTGCTATTCAGTGAGATCAGCTTCTCCATGTACTTCAGCTGTTGTTCGTAAAGAGCCCGTTGTCTCTCAAGCTCAACCTTTTCATCGTCACTAGGCTTGTCCTTGAACGTTGATCCTACCCGTTCAATGGCCTATTTCGCCCGAATTTTTTCGTTAGCATCAGGCATATCCATGTCTCGTACACATATACATACGCTGTCTTCTCTTTCCATCCTCCAAGCAGCTGAATATGGCTCTTTTCTTCCGTGGAGATTGACGATGACTTCCTCGGAAAGATCAAACTTCGAGGCCGTGTCCCCCCAACGTCTGTGTGTATTTTCTCAGTATGGGTGTTTGGATGTTTTCCATCGTGGTCCAATGATGTTAGACGGATTACTCTTCAATTGAGAGGTAGATTCGCCAGTGATGCGTACATCTCCAGTGTAGCACGATTCTCCGGAGCCAGGAGATTCGAATGACACCACTCACTACTACAATATATCTATTTGTCAAACAGTTTGATCATGTATTAGCAGAATTGAAGAGATCTACTTCTTACCTTGAGCAGCAACGGCAGCAGCACCGGCAGCAGCAGCTTCTGGGTCCAAGTAGTAGGATGGCTTTGTTGGCTTGAGCTTCTGATCCAACTCGTAAACCAATGGGATACCAGTTGGGATGTTCAAGCCGGCAATGTCAGCATCAGAGATGTTGTCCAAGTGCTTGACAAGGGCTCTGAGGGAGTTACCGTGAGCAGCAATGATGACGGTCTTACCATCCAAGAGCTCCTTGGCAATGGTGTCTTGCCAGTATGGCAACATTCTGTCAATGACGAGCTTCAAGGACTCGGTTTGTGGCAACACGTTTGGATCAACATCCTTGTAACGAGCATCGTCAGTTTGAGCAAACTCGGACTTTGGGTCAATCACTGGAGGTGGCACGTCGAAGGAACGTCTCCATGTCTTGAATTGCTCCTCACCGTAAGTGGCCAAGGTCTCGGCCTTGTCCTTACCTTGCAAAGCACCGTAGTGACGCTCGTTCAATCTCCATGAACGGTGGACATCGATGTAGGCGAAACCAGCCTCCTCAAGGGCCAGGTTGGCAGTGTGGATGGCTCTGGTCAATCTGGAGGTGAACAAGACGTCTGGCTTCAACCCAGACTCCTTCAACAACACACCGGCACGCTTGGCCTCCTCCTCACCCTTAGCGGAGAGCTTGACATCGACCCAACCGGTGAAGAGGTTCTTCTCGTTCCACTCAGACTGACCGTGACGCACAAGGATAAGTTTTGGCATTGTTCTTAGCTATTCGATTCCAATTGATTTCCAATGGAGCTTTGTTATAAAACGTGGGAAGGGGAACAAGTAAAGAAAACCGCAACAGACAAACCACAAGAGATTATGGCGTCCTTATATATACGGACTGAGGTGCCCGGCGACAGCGTTGGACATCAGGGGACGGCGGTGCTCACGGGCGCGTCTTATCACGTGACCCACACCCGGACACCAACACACCCGGACACCAACGCGCCCCCAGGTACACCACACCCGGGCACGCGGTGTGTTGCCATGGAGACAGGAACTGGTGATGTCCTTCCCCGGTGGTGAAGAGGCTATACCAGCTCGACTATAACGTGACTGCCCAGGTTACACGCCCGTCACCAGATGGTTTCCAACACTCTGATCATCACAGGAGTCAGTGCTGAGCAGCTCAATGACGACGCGTTCATAGCAAGGCTACACAACGTGCTGGTTTCAGCGCTGGCGCAGACCGAGTCCGTTCAGTTCATCGTGTTGAAGTCGTTCAAGAGGATTCTGTTGATATTCCAGTCCAGGGAGAGCAGTTCACTGCTGATTGACAAGCTCAAGGAGCTGGGGAGAGCAGAAGGGTTTGCTTGCGGGTATGCCTTGAACGACTTTTCCAATAACCTGGGGAACAACTATCTGGAGCTTCCTTCAGACTCACGAATGTTCCTGATATCGCCACCTGCTTCGCCTCCAGTGGACTTCAACTACGATGCCACCGAGGAGGAGCCGAATAAACTGCAGATATATACCCACGAGGATATCCAGGAGCTGTTCTTGAAGAATAACGAGGAGCTGCGGAAAGTGTTGGAGCAAGAACACGACTCCACCAAATACGTCTCGTCTGCCGTGGATGACTCAAAGGGGAAGCTAATTGATCAATTACGACGGGAAATCGTGCTTAACGATAGTCCAGGTGGTCCCAAGATCGTTCTTGAAGCCATTAACGTTGAAGATGACCACCTTATTGGCAAGGCGATTCAGAGCTTTAGGACCAGTCTACCACCAAGAAGCATATTCGATGATTTAGATGACGACTGATGCACTTATACGTCTATTGTGTGGCTTTATATAGTACGGGGTTGGATTATAATACATTAACATTAACCATACTAACACAATAGACATGCTGGGAAAAGGACAGCATCAAGTGAGTGACGACGATATATATAGCGAAAGAGACTAGTTGTGTAGTTATAACTTGCCAGCAAAGAATATAATGTACAGCACCGTACAATGAATGATACTACCAATCCAACAATAAGCCATCACTATCGAGAAGAAAATAATCAAAAAGATGGGAGGGATATGACATTCTTAGGATCAATATTAGTACAGAGATATGTTGTAGGCTCCACCATTTGGAGCTGTACTAGAAGGTGCGCTTGATTGAGGTTGTTGTTGTTGTTGTGCTGGCACACCATGTGGTAAATAACCACCAGATGTGGTGGTCTGGATGTATTGAGATTGAGGTTGTTGTGATTGTCGATGCTGTTGACTTGGAGGTGATGCCTGCACACCTTGTTGTTGCTGTTGCTGATGATGATGTTGTGAATGCGACGGAGCTTGTGAATGCGCTTGACTCTGTGCCTCAGACTGTGCTTGTGCTTGTGCTGGCTGCTGAGACTGTGCTTGTGCTTGCGCATGGCTTTGAGATCCCTGTGCGCTTGTTGATGATGGTGGCAGCATCTGCGTCTGAGATGACGAATGGTGGATGTAGTGAGGTGCTGTGCCATGTTGAGCAACAGAGACACTATGGCTTGCATTGTTCACGTCAACAAGGTCTTTCTCGGCCTGGATGAGAGCATTATTAACAACCCTAGATAGAAGAGACCTGTCGATCTCTTCTTTTTGCAGTTCTTTATTCACAAGAGCCCTAGCAAGATCATATTGAAGTCTTCCATGGGAAAAACACGAATCTAGAGGGTCTCCAGGGATATCTTGGTCTATGGAACCAGGGTTAGAGTTGGACGTAGCAGTGGTTATGGAATTATGCGAAGGGAATGAAAAATGTGATAATGAGCTGGATACTGAAGCATTGTGCTGCTGCTGTGGCTGCTGCTGTGACTGTTGCTGCTGAGATAGAGAACCTTGACCAAACTGTGGTAGTGGTGCTATAGGGACCTGCAATGGAATCTGAGGCTGTGGTACTGATGTGAAGTAGGGATTAAAAGTCTTCTCCTTGTATCCCTTCTGTAAAGGCCATTCCAGATGTGGAGGTGGTGGTTGAGGATAAGTCTCAGAGTACCCATACTGATCGGAGTGTGAAACAGATGGAACAGAGGGGCCACCAGGCCCAGTCTGTTGTTGTTGTTGTTGTTGTTGTTGCTGCACTGATAGGGAAAGTTGCGGCTGGTGAGAGATCGGGTCGTCAGGTTGGATCATCTCATTATCACCAGGAGCTCTCATGAATACCCTATCAGATCTCATTCTCTTTCTCTCTATGAACTCGTTCTTGTAGTATTCTGCCAGAGTTATCTGGTTATTTATCATCAGTTCAGCGTTGTGACGCTCCAGGAACCTATCAATCCAATTCTTACCGACTTTCAGACACTGCTCTCTCACGGAATCACTCATCTCAACATCTTTGAACTTCTGCTCCAACAGCCGTTCACAGATCCGCAGAATCTGCTTCTTCTGAGGAATACGTTGTTGCTCTCTCAACATCGTCTGGATTTGGGACACGATGATAATCTCTTCGTCATTGGTGAACTTCTGCTGCTTCTCATGAGAGTTTCTGGTGTTTTTGAATCCATGGATTCGCCGGCTCAGTGTTGTTCGGCTCACTTTGAACTTTGTTGCTAGAGAGTTGATGGAAGCAGATCTGTTGGTCTTTGCTTCTTCAACAGCCAACCTAAATCGTTCTTCACGATCGTTGTACTCTTTGAGCTTTTTGTCTTTGTAAACCATGATGAGTATGGCTTGCTTTGCACTTTCATCAACTTTCTCAAAAACAACGAGGAACAGAGACGGTGGACAGTATGGCACAGAAGTTGATATCTTAAAGCACGCCGGTGAATGATAATGTTATCAGACAAAGAGCCTATTGTGTCCCGGGCGTACAGATCGGCAACGTTTGAGGGGGAATGAACACTCGACTGCGGAAGCGAGCTGTGGAAGGGAACTGTATATATATATGCACAGCAAATGTGTATGAGGACGACGACGAGATCAGTTCAAATAGCAGGAGACCACTTTTCAAGACTCTGAGGAATTAGAGACAGAAAAAATGCAAAGCTTCTGGATATATAAAACAACAACAAGAAAAAAAGTACTCAGGGAAAATGGCGTAATGCGGCCATGGGACAGACACAGCAGTTGCGAGTTGTCCATGTTTGAGATATGGAACCACCCAAGCACGCATGGCAGCACCTCGCCTCGCATCACAGCACGATGCATAACCCGTGATATAGTCCTGATTTTTGTCTCCTTTGTCTCGAAATTCTCATTTTTCTCTACCTGTCCGAAAAGAAAAACGAGACACAAAACAGCAAAGGCTATGGAAATGGGACAAATGAACGGACATGTCTATGAGTTTTATTCCACCAATCTTTTTCGGTTCAAGCTCAGGGAAATGTTAGAAAGTACTGCATAATACCACACAGTTGTTCGAGATGAACAGACATCATTGATTGTATCCTATATAATATAAGTGCATTTAATCGGTCCTTCAGGACAGAACTGTTGTTCAGATCAGTGAGTATACGCCGCGCAATGTCTGAATAAGTACGCAACGTCGGAGAATACCAGTGAGACCGAACTAGAGTGTGATGAAACTGAAATAATTGTTTCTACATTACAATCGTGATCGCTAACGTTTATTATTTAGTGTGCACTATCTGGGCAGCAACGTCAAATAAAGCTCATCGATGAATGTTGAGTACTCCTACATGGGTATAGCTTTTAGACCTTGATATAATTCTGCATTTTCCGGTACTTTCATATGAGCTGCTTTGGAATGGACTGACATGTGTGTTTACAGTAACATCAAAACTGTACAAATTACACCCTTGTTTCTACACAAGATGTGAGTCTCTACAGCTTATCCCCTCCTTTTAAGTCATGGTCACAAGTACAACATTATATGACATGCTGGGCAGTGTGCCCAACCTACGTATATAGACGTACTTGACCATTTGTGCCACGTTTAACTGGTATGATTACTTGGTGGGCTTGTACATATGTAGCAGCAGTATTATTAGGTTTTTGAAGTGAGTTCACTATATGCACGCATTTTTATTGCTTGTACAGTTATGGCTAATTGTAAGAGGCGTCGTATATAAAATATCGTACACAGTTTGCTATAACCCAAAAGAGATCAACCAAAGATGCGCTGGCCTTTTCGCCTAGAACATGATGATAGCCAAAAGAGGTGCTATGATCATACATGATGTAGCTGCTTAGAGTCATTAACGGTTCTGTTCTGAATTTTTACTGTATACGCCGACAACTCAGTTTTCAAACCGAAACAAGGCACTACGCTGTCTTTAAATAAACAAATGGCCCAGCAAAGGGTTCAAGTTTTCTTCACGGTACCTCTGTTGTTGTTGTTGTTGTTGTTATGAAGCTGGAGCCCAACAGGCCGAGATTTCAGATGACGAGTTCACAAGCATCAGGTTGGAGTACCGTAACCGTTCACTTCTGAATTTGCTCTACATTGGAATACCGTATGTGAAAGCTGAGCACGTATAAGTCTTCAAATGAACGCATACCTTAGTATACAGAAAGCGACGCATGGTTGCTCACATGAAATGCACCATCCTTCTGTATGTAAAGACCTATATATTGTGGACGTCTGTACCGCATGAGCTGTTCCTAACATCCAATACGTCCATAAGTGCTTGAGCTTGTGCTTCAAGTCTCGGATCGGATGTAATCTCCAACCGTCGAAATGTTATCTAACTTCAAAAAAATCGCCTCAAATTTACGTTGCCTTCCACGGATTGTATGTTAGAGGTTATACTGTGAAACATTCCGCTAAAGTGACAGCAACAAGATTGACAAGATTCAACAAAGACTTTAACTTACAGTGCAAAATGTCCATCAAATATACAAACTCAATCAGATCACACAGAGATCCGCGCGCCGAAATCTTCACTGTCTCGCCGTATTTGGCTCCGCCTGACTACTTCTAGGCCAAACTATATGTACACACCAGAAACCTTTGCATGTGTAAACAGACGAAGATGAACAACACATGCTCCGAAATCACAAGAGACACACACAAATAATTCCAATAAAACCTTAGGGTGCAGGTCTCTGTACTCTGTACAAACTGCGTAAACAGCTTCTATATCATACTAGCCACATAATTATGATGCTTTTTCATGCTCCAGCTTAGACTCATTTCTCATCTACCTATCAAATCTGCTACGACAACATACGGCATTAAGCACATGAAGGGACCACAACCGAGACGATTAGACAGGTTAACGAGGGATACATTCTTCGACTAGGTAAATGACTAGAAACAATTAACAGTTATATTTACACGTGTACCCATATTAACAAAGCACTCCCCGCACAAATTAGTTGACCTGGCAAATTTTAATTTCAAACTTCTCAATCAGGGCAAGTTTGTTAGTTTCTCTTCTTGAGATTGTTGGTGGCTTAGTCTTTGACCTTAGTGTATATATACTGGACAAATTGTGTAGACGTTCGAGTCTTTAATATCAAAAATCATAGAAAAAATGGGCTCTGTCCAAAGCAGCTTCTGTATCCGAGGTGTCTCTGGAGAAGACTCTCATCTTCTCTTCAGAGATCAGCAAAACAAAGCATCCCATAAGTGAACAGTTACTAATTGATTCTTTAGATAGCCTAATCCTTTATAGTGAACCTTGAATTCGTCAACCATTGTAGTTGGCGACATGCACAAACAAATTTGATTTGAACTCCGAATGTTATCTCAGCTTTAAAACCCCTTTGAAAACCCGAAGCCTTCCTTCAACCTCATACAAGACCTTCATTGACTGTTCCAACAGAAGAACTGCCAGCTGAATAGCGGTTGAATTCTGAACATTCTGAATACTTGTTGCTATAAAAATGTTCCATTCCATCAGCTCTGGTGCATCAAGGTCTCAGACATTAAGCATTAGCTCTAAATTCTCTTAAAATAGTTCGTCTATAGTATAGCACTGTGACCTTTTTGATGTTCTCATCTAGATGATCAAGACTTCACCATAGACTCCCAAATACACAATGCCCTCAACCAACCTCCTTTTTAGTTTTCTCCATTTGAAATGGCTTTGAGCTTTTGTCCTTTCAATTTTCTTCAAATGTCTGACGAAATATGCAGAAGCGGTGCCAGAAACGAACCTAGTCCAGCTGATTGTCCCAGATTTGGTCAGTTTTCATCATAAAATAAAAGAGACATGTATACTAGCGCACGATATTGTATTACATTGCTGTGGACAAAAGTTTATTTCGACTGAACGGGATAGACTCTTTTGGGAACTACCAACAGTTACAAACGGTAGATTCGACCGTTTTCTGTTGTGTCGAGCTTTCCTAACTAAGCTATGAATAAAGATCAGCTATGGTTTGCGTGGCACATTAGAAAAGCAAACAAAGAAAGGTGTATAAAATAAAAGGTGTTTTATGTGATGAAGCAGAAACCTACAATAGACCTAAATTATCTCATCAACACCGTTGAGAGTAAATCGCTGTGATGTGGCAGGGACGAGAAGGAGGTAAATATCAAGGTGTTCGTCTACAAACGCTGTGTGACATTGCATGAAGGCCATGGCGTTGAATTACGGCGAGGAACGACTAAGCATGATAGAAACATAAGCTATAACTGTTATTTGCATACAAGGTTGATCAAATAGCACATATATATGTACACGTCGTCATTAATTAGCTCATCAGTCAACTATTGCGACATTCCAGTAGTCTTCTGCGTCCGAGTCTAATAATCTAGAGATTTAACTACTGGTATTTCGATAACCTTAGTCATCTGACCTTGTATTTATCGCAGATATTTGTAAGATTTCCTGGTGCCTAAGATTTAATTAGCAATATTTAGGCACTGCGTATTTTCTTGGATGGCTAGCTATGTTGGTTTGTCCTCTTCGTATACACCTGTTATTTGACAATGGGGAAGAAACAGACACCCAAGATAAGGCTGAGTCTAGGGCAGCAGTCCATGTTTTACCGCAACATGTTGTCCATAATTGGGGAAGTCGGACGTTAAAAGTGAATAACCCCGTCGTAAGTTTTATAATTCTCAATGTGAAATCTGCATTCTGGTCATTCAGTACTAGTTGTGGACAGAAGACACACTTGTATGAGAGTTCGGACATTTTTAAACAAAACTGGACACATTGAAAACACGCTAAAGGGGGTGACATCCTTACTTCATCTTTTATTTGAAAATTCCCTGCTAAAATGTGATAGAGACGATTATTAGGTTCACATACCAAAACAAAGTGTACCAGGATATCACGTATAATCAACAAGGAGATGCTGGTAATCGTAAATTCTTACGCAAGACCACTTCCTTTCAGTAGTAAATTGAAGGCCATCAACAATGAGATCCATCACTATTGTAGATTTTACAATAACTGTGTGAAACACCTCGGTCCTGCCACCCCATACTGGCACTCCCACCAAAAATGTACTTCCAAACGTTTAACTGGTATTTTTTTTCCTTCTTCTACGTAGTGCTAAATACATACCTAGCTATGTACACCTGTCACAATTTTAGTTAGACCACGGACCGTGGACCTATGCAAACTCCTGAGTGACTCACTTTGCTCAAAAAGTCGATGTTAATGAAGATAAAGTTAGAATTTACTCAAAGTCTTCCACTGACTAAAACAGTTTAGAAGTGTATAACGTCGCATCACCCTGTAAGTGGATATGCAGTCCTACATACGTCCCGAGCCGACCTTATACTAGTTATGCTCCATCTCTACTCTGAAGTGTTGCAACAGACAAGCCCACACCCTCTACATCTTCATATACTATGGATAACTCATACAGCTCGGCCGAAATCAATTAACAATTTTTGAAGAAGATTATTGGTTCGTGAATGCTTTTGGGCAGGTGAGCACGCCGCTTGTCCAACACTAGAGAAGGAACGTTCATGTACATGCATGTTCGAATTCTGGGCTTAAACTGCTTAGTTTAACTTGTGCGACTTATCATGGGGACATCGGGAAGGCCTTTCATGTACATTCAATGTAAGTCGAGCCATGACTGAAAAGGTTGAACCATGATTAGGTCCTTCTAGAAAGTACATGTACGTGGATATGTGCGTAGAATGTTGCATCTTGAATTTGGGTTCAATCTTTATAATAGCATCTCTACTTGATGCATGAACCAGGTTTCATGCGGACCTGTTATTTCACCTAGCGGAATCTTATTTCATAGATTTCAGATAATTGAAGTGCGTAGACATACTTCGATGATGGACATAACATAAAACAACAAACGGCGAAAGAAGAACATAAGTGTGCCTTTTTTTTTAACTCAGTAGAAATATGCATTGTGACTCGTATTGCTATATAATTGATCGATGAATGTGCAGTGGTGCAACGACAAAACTACTACTTCTCAACAGCAACCATATTTCCCACATTAATATAAACAACAGTTGACTATAAGTCAAAGCCAACCAAATGTGAAAGCACAAAGTTGGTAGCTCACGTTTCAGTGCCAGATTCCACATCCTACACTGTCCTCACCATGTGCGTGTAGAAGCCACAGGCCTCGTTGGTATGCACTGTGTAGAGTTAGATGCCCGATCAAACTCTTTAAGCTTGTTGTGCACACGTCTGTGCACTGCGATCTGACATTATCAATATTGCAACTTCCCGAATTTTGGGACTTGGAAGCTTGAACCTCTTGATGTATGTATGTACATGTGGTTTCGGTGTCAACTCCTTTGTTCCATAAGTGCATTCGCCTGACTTTCCTGCTTGCACAGCCTAGTGCTTTTTTGTTTTCTCACCAGGGAAATAACATGGAAGCACCCAGTGTACGTCCCTGTGTAGAACGAAAGGGTGTATTTGAAAGGAACTTTTAATAACAGCTTGCAATATCTTGCACAACACGTTGTTCTTTATGGTTCATCGAATGAGATGATTGGTGAGAAATCTGTCCGAAGACGAAGACTTCTACACAGCCAGCGGGTATATGCGGCCCACCTTGAGAAGAATTAGGGTAACGATATACGTACATTGTGCATTTTCTTGTGTTCTAGATGTGGTTTGCATGATATACGCTACGTACGTCGCCGAGTACGCACATAGTTCGAGCTGGTGGAGGATGCTTGGACCGTGGGTCGCAAGCAGGTGTCTGTTTCACCACTTGCATCCAATTACGCTTGTAGCATGTCCTCGCCATTATGTTGTGTGTACGATGAATTTTATGCATCATGGGGCCGTCGGACGATGGTGTCATGGCTTGGGAGGCTTATACGGACCATTCGTTCACCATCAGGATATTATCGTTTTAGTATTTCTCAATACACAAGTTCATACTTATTCACTACATATAGGACACTATTAACAACCCGATTATCTATTGGAATCGATGAGCACCGTTTGAGTTTGGGGTCCTTCCAAATGGACCATAATACTCTCTGCGCTAGACCACATGCATCAGCTGTCGACTCTACATAAGCTTAGACCAAAGTCTGTTTCCCTCAAGGAGAAGAGCGATCATGTTCAGACACTGCAAGCCACAACAGGTAGTCAACAATGATGAAGCTCAGTAAAGAGCTGTATCCATTTAAAAGTTGTCACAGGATCAAAAGTGATACATCTTCCGGTTGATTTGTGCATTCCACATTTGAAAGACCAAATGGTACGAACTGAGGGTTATGAGGCCAACATATGGGCTTATTGCATGTTGTTCTGCGATTTCTGGTACAGCTACAACTGATTGTTCGGTAACTCAAATTTCTCTAACAGACCAGTGAATCGCTGTTTTGGAAAATATTCTATTGCGTTATATAGTGATGTTCATATCTGACATCGACGTGAAGCACCATCCAGGACTATTAGATTTGAAACTATGTTGATGTTCATTTCTTGGATTTAGACTTAGCACTCTTCTTCACAACTTTACTCTTCCCCGTGTTTACACCCAATAACTTCTTTGATTCAATTTTTTCCTTCTTTGCGGATTCCTTCTTTGCCTTCTTTGCTTTCTTAATCTTTGAAGCTAATAACTGTGGAACTTGTTCATCATGAGCCAACTCAACCAATGCACGCTCAAATGAACTCAGCTTGACTTGCTCACCCCCAATCTCCAAGACATTATCCTGGGACTCAGTTTCGACAACTGCAGTGTTCGATTCCGGCAGATCATCCTTTGTGAATGCAATCTCGGATTCGTACAATGGCAACGCTGGAGAATTGTTACTCTTGATGAAAACACCTCTGAGGGATTCTGGGGCAAAGTTTGCAATGACTTGAGAAACAATATCAGGGTTAACGTTTTCCAAAGATCCCAATTTGATCACCAAGTTGTCACTTCTTGGCAATCTATAGATGATACCGTTGACGATCTTAGCAACTTCTCTTTGCACCCTTTCAATGTTGAATCCATTCTTTCCGACATTAACTGGCACTGGAACTTTACTGTTTGAGTCGTAGAAAACCTTCCCCAACAACTTTGGTAACGTTGTGATCAGCGCATCATCTGCAAGGAAGATGTCAAACTCCTTTACTAATTGACGACGCTTTTCATAAGGCTTATAAGTAGTTTTCAACTCTTGGCCAGCGATGATCTGTGAGATCGAATTGTTCAACTCACTCTGCTCAATTTTTTCCAAGAGTTCCTTGTCGATCAAGCCATCACGTACGAAAAGTGCAATCTTCGGTTGCTCGGTGACTTTTCTATCCAATGCAATAACACGAGGCTTCAAATCAACCTTAGAGCTCCACAACGAAGGCTTGGTCAGTTGCAGTTGAATCTCAGATATGAGCTCGTCTTCAAACAGCTGTTGCTTTTCAGAGTCCTTCGAGTCCTCTGCAGAACGATCAATGAACAATTTCAACTGCTTCAAAGCCTTCTCGATGAGATCTTTGGATACAAGACCATCAGAAGATCCTTTCTTGGCCTTTGGGACAGCAACAGCGGTGGTAGTAGCACCAGCATCGGACTCGTCCTCAACGGCATCACCAGCATCCACAACCGTCACGGCCTTCACCACTTTACCCTTTGGCTTAGTGGACGTCTTCTTAGGACCACTCTTGACAACTTTGCCACTCTTGACCTTCTTAACCATCGTCCAGCAGAATTAGTGTGCGAACAAGTTTCGATTGTATTGATTATGTCTCGTACGTGGGAAAGTTTTCTCTCTGCGATGAGCTTCCTAAATTTTTTTCCCGGTCTGGATGTCCGAAATGGGAAGCACCGCGCGACTGAAAGTATTACCCTGTCTTTACGGCCTCGCTGGTACAAATTCCAGACATAAAGGTGAAGGACAACTTCTTTTGTATACAAGATCTAGTGTTAATTCTCTACTAATTTGGGGATAAATGGTTAGTACAAGTGGGTCTCATGGAAGCTCTAGGGGTTTACTAATGTGCTGGTTGTAGGGTAGAAAGAAATCGTCCGCCAAACCGGTGAAAAGAGTTGTTCAGAAGCTTGACACGCAGTTCAACTGCCTGTTCTGTAATCATGAGAAGTCAATCATATGTACACTGGACAAGAAGAATAACCTGGGGTTCCTATACTGTAAGATCTGTGGACAAAAGTTCCAGACTCCTATCAACGCGCTGAGTAAGCCTGTGGATGTGTATACGGACTGGTTTGACGCTGCAGAGGCTGTTAACGAAGATCATCATAATGGAGGCGACGACGAGGACGACGAGGACGAATACGACGATGAAGACCGAGTACATTCTGCCGGGAGAGGCAATAGCTCGAAAACTGCTAAGACGAACACTATGGATGATGGGTTTATCGAAGATGATGAAGAAGAAGAGGATGGGAACTACAGTGATTAGACATGGACGTGACCGAAGGGAGGAGGAGCAGCTGATGCATATAATTACGATTGATTGTATAATAAATATAATCTGAATTGTTATCTGTTTATAAAGAATCGTTGAATATAATAAAGACATAGAAGTGTAGACAAGTGAAATAAAAGAATTGTGCGAACAAGGACATGCGCAGTGCGATGATGATGCATCACTAGTAATATATCTAGACAAGCAAAGACAAGGAGAAATGGTATATGAAAATGCATTTTGTTTCCTTTTTTCCAATATGACTGATAATAACGATCAAAAAGCACAAGGAATTGCACACTCTGTCCCTTCTCTTCCTGTATGAAACCCATATCATATGGATCTTCTGTGCTGTATGGGAGTAATGATCAAACGTCATCCTTGTCCTTTTTTCCTCTTCAATTAACAATCATCCGATAGATATATAGATATAAACACCACAAAGCGCATGCACTCAGACTCAGAATATGATTTCCCCCTTCTCTGCTTCTTTCTATCTCCCTCATGAACACAACGCCTCAACTTGAAAAGTTGCACGCATCTTAGTTAACGTGCTTCTCGTTGGCCAACTCTGGGAACAAATCCTCCTTCAAAGTAAGACCCAACTCCTCTCTGACATCCTTCAACTCCTCCAAGTAAGCGTTGTACTGGTCGATGGTCTCAACCTTGTATTTCAAACCCTCAAAGACTCTAACAGCAGTAGCGTAGTCGTTGACTCTTCTAGCAGCTCTCAAGGCTTGTTCAATCACAGTTGGAGATGGAACCAAATCGTAAGAGAAGGCATTGTTCAAGATACGTTGTACCTCGAACAAGTCGTAAGCCTGTTCGAACTCCTTCTCGAATCTGGCAGTGAACTCCTCAAAGGTCTCCTCGTGGTGAGCAGAGTAGTTTCTAACACCGTTGAGCTTGAAAGCGTTGGCGGTAACGATACGGGAGGTTGGCAAGGCAATAGAAGCAGCACGAGCAACTGGAACTCTCAAGGCAAATCTGGACAACATTGTAAACACTGGTGATCTTATGTTTTAGGTGATGTTATAAGCAAAGGGAGAAAAAAAGTATCAACAAGAGGGAAAAGGGAAGAAAAAAAAAGTGGGTCCATTCAGTGATGGTTTTTTTTTTCCTTGTTCCTCATTAATTATCGTGGTTTTTATTTGTCCTTCCCAGCCTACGCATTTCTTCCTTCTGTCTAAAAATTTTAGAGCCTCTCTGCCTACGCTCTGCCTACGCTCTGCCTACGCTGAAATTTTTAACGTGTGCGCTGCCCGTGCCTCTGCGCTGCTGTGTGTTTTTTCTGTTCAGCCCGTGGAGACGTGAGCGGGCCTCCTCCTTCTGTGTGCTGTGTGTGTTTTGTTGTGTCCTTCTGGCCTCCAACGGGAGAAAACCACGAAAAGGCTGCCAAACGGCGTATGAAAAAATTCAAGTTTAGCCGGGAAAAAACAACTAAAAGTCTCGCTGTGATTGGTTGGAATCACGAACTGGACAGATTTAAAGGGAAAACAGAAAAAGTGGGTTGATGATTATGTAATTAGTTATGTAATGCATTATGTAATATATTACGTAATGGAGACGTATATCAAAGTCTAATCTGTGTTCCACGCATACGGACTGCGTGCTCGAAGTCTTGCGCCGTCTCTGTAGAAGTAGAAAGGAGCTGGGATCATGGCAATAGCTACGAATGCAAGCAGTGATACACCCCAGTGGACGCCTAGGCCTTCCATCATCTGGACTCCGAACAACGGGAAGATCCCACTGGCGGTGCTTCTAACGAGCGAATTGCCTGCAAGTGCGCTCGCAGCGTACAGCCTGTAGGCATCACCGGTGTAGGCAAAGACACCTTGGAATGAGAGCGCAACACCTGAGCCGAATACCCCTGAGCCGATTATGGGTGCAATCCAATGTAGGTCGGAGTAGCTGGTCCAAGCTATGATGAACAGTCCCATGGGGACGACAATAACACCACACATCAGAGGGTAGAATCTGAACTCTGGTATATCCTCACCGTCATGCGAGTGAACCCTGCTGTTGTACACTTTCTGGAAATATGGTGCAAAGGACCCGCCAACTATCATTCCAATCAGCATACCCATGAACGTCAAGCCCTGCTGCCATATGCCAAACCCGTAGACTGTACGGAAGATGTAAGGGAATGCGACAAAAAACAGGTAGACGATACCAAGTGCCAGCCCAGTGTAGGAGCACAGGACTGCCATCATTGGGTCTCTTAATAAGAGTAACAGCGGCCTCTTGGGAGCCTGGAGACATGTGACGATCAAGGAATGTTTCCTGAACTTCTCCAATGGTGCATAGTACTTATCATCGCCTGTCTTTTCCCGGATTCTCTTGGCCTTACGAACCAGTAAGATTGGAACATAGGTCTCCGGAAGACAGAAGATGACAAACATAAGCATTACTCCACTGAAAATCGTAAGGATGTGAAATGTCCATCTCCAATGGATATGCGCGTTGACGAACCCAGAGAGCAAGGGCCCTAAAGAAGGACCCATAAATGGTGCTAATGAATAGATGCACATAGGCACGCCAATCTCGTGCTTCTTGAATATGTCAGTAACGGTACCACCAGCAATAGATAAGAAGCAACTACCAAAAAACCCTGACATGAACCTTCCAAACAGCATGCCTCCATAGTTTGGTGAAAACTCTGTTAGAAACTCAAAGCATGTACACAGCGATAATCCAAATACAAACGTTATCTTTCTTCCATAAAACTCGCTGATTGGAGACAGAAACAGAGGGCCAAATCCAAGTCCCCAGATGTACATGGATATACCCAGCACAGATACTTCTCGCGAGATATCCATGGCATCCATGATATTCTGTGACGCTAAAGCCCACGCTGATGAGATCATCGTCACACATATAGACGTCGTAGCAATGATAATGACGATGAACCATTTACGCCATGTGGACATTGTGGCATTGGTATTTTCAATATCATCAAAGCCGTCAAACTTCACCTCGTATGGGTCCACAGACTCTTCAACATCGTTATTTTGAGCAGATTTTGATGCACACGAGTTTATGGTCCTAAGGTCCGCTTCATCAGGCTGGATAGAGTATACCCTTTCGAGATCGACATCCGTACTGTCAGATGTCATCTCTTGAGTGTCAGGTGGAACTGTATAAACTTTTCAGCACAAGATGTACAATTTAAAGCAGATTACCTTGGTGAGTGTTCTAACTAACCAAGTGATACAAGACCAATTGAGGGACTGGTTGGAGAGATGGATGAAAGTAACAATTGAAGGCTTTTCTCTCTTGATATATACAAAGTATGGGCTTCTTGGAGAAGAACGAAAAGCAATAAACAAACAGTCATTTTGCATAAAAAAGTGTCTTAAGGTGACTTAAGAGGCGATGACCGAGTCCCAATACTTTATCTCCGCAATTAGTCAGCCTTGGTCCTGAGATAAGGCCGATAAAAACACAATTACTCCGAAACGTATGGCTTCATACACCGATACGATGCTGATTGCCCTGAAATCACGAGAGGTGTTTCGTTCAAAAGCATATACCATAAGAGTTCTTGACTCGATGGAGCTATTTAGTTTAGTTGAGAGCCATACAGGAATATTTGAGGGTCCTGTGTGGATCGTAAAGAGCACATTGATGTCTTGAACCAAACTATCCAATTGAAGAGGGTATTGTCTAATCAGTGATAGAAGATCTTTGTAGCTTTCCTGAATCTCAAAATACTTCAAGTCTAATATTGCGAACTGCTGGTCTGTTAACGGTGACAATTCAAGTTTCGGAGTGCTCATGCGGTCGAGCAATTTCACTTGGTTGAGCAATGATTGTAGCCAAACATCCAGCGACAATTATTTGGATCAGTCCCAGAAGGTTGAGGTTTTTCAGATAATCAAGTTACTAAAGATGCCACGACATCATAACCACCTGTGCCAGTTTTAGTAACTGCTTAGTGAGGTGTAAATATCTAATAGAGTCCTCAAATCAGACTCGAGTATGAACCAAATACTTTTAAAAGCATCTAATCAGTTGTAAATTGTGCGCATAAAGTACTTCACCAAGCTGAGACTACTGAGTCTTCAATTAAAGATTATAAACTGGGAAGAAGAGACTATGAATGTTCATATTTCCGTTTACTTAACTACAAGACTTGGATTTGATACATAATTCGGTGCAGAACTCGGACCTGGTTGATATGCAATTGGAGGTATACATACATCAACAACATACCACAGAACATTTTGGGTATTATTCCCATGCCAACAGTGACTGATTAATTCTATTGTAGAGAATAGCTTCGATTGCTGTTTAATTGAGTGAGTTGTGGAGTTTCGAAACTCCAAAAGATGTCACTAGATCTACAGGAGATGTCATCTATATTTCAATTGACATAAGAAGATGTGTATAGCCTAACACGATTAGGACTATATTCCTCATTCGGGTGTGTAAGAGTTTCAAAGGGCTTTCAACCATGTACAAGAACACCATCCTTTGTATCCATAATGAGGTTCTTACGTATCAACCGATCCTTAGAGTAAAACATCTAAGGCAACGTATATCTATGTACATCATATCTAATGTAACTATATCATCTTCTTCCCTATACACTCCCTATTAACCAAGTTTGAACTGTCACACCAAACAACGCTATAAATCATTGTAAAAGAATATCCTTCGCTTACTCATACGACCATGCGACTGGATCAATACTACGCACACTCCTAAAACCGCACCAACAAACACCCTGGGGGAACACAAGACAGTACCACTGAATCAGTGACTCACCATGGGATACTTCATATCCCAGAAAGCCAAACAGAACACGGCCTCTACAACTAACACAACACTCTGCTGATGAACCAAGCAGTGATTGACGGTATTACATAAGAAGAGCCCAAACTTCGGTGGGGACCGCATACACCCAGACACCACACACATAGAGGGAAAAGGATGTCTCGCCCATTTCAACGAACGGGACAAGGGGGATTTCTCCAACACAAAAAGATCACAAAGCTCAGTCAAAATCAACAACAACAAAGGCCAAACAAAGCGGCGGAACCGAAAACTTTCCCGCTATGTTGAGAAGATCTGTAATGGGTCTCCGTATCCTGAAGCAGTGGAAATCTCAGTCACGGCGTAAGCTCTACCATTTTGGAGAGTTGAGTTTGAACTCATCAATTTCTCTGCCCAATCCTCCCCTGATTCATCCACATAACTCAATAGCCGCGGCGGTACATCAACCGCCACGTCCAATGGCGTCGTCGTTGGAGTCCCTGGAGAGAGTGTTGCGCTCGAGTGGGCCGAGGGTTACAAAGAGAACGTCGTTGGGCCAACTGCCCCAAGCGCTAAGGCATAAGATGAAGAAATGCAGTGATCCCCATGTGAGGTTGGATCTGATGTTGGACTTCAAGGAACCGCTACGTGTCTCATTAGCGAATATAGATAACGTACTGGAGAAAGATTTTGGAGTCGGTAGTGCTGTGGAGGCGTTGGAGGTGCTGGATGATAGAACCATGGTGAAACTCGTCAAGTACTACATCGTTCATAGAGATTACAACAGAGCCAGTGTTCTTGTCCATAGTGTTCTTCTCAACAGATTCCAAGACGTTTCACTGATTCACAAGCTGAATGCAGCTATCTTTGATTCTCTGAAGAAGGATTATGATTTGTCCTTGGGTTTCATGGATCTATGTCGCTCTTTGTACAAGACCTGTGAAGGGGATATGAAACTGTTCAAATTTTGCTTCACCTCTTTGACAAACAATGGCGCTGTTCTAAGAGATTTGCATTTCAAGCATCCAATGTTTCTCGATGTTTTAAGATATATTCAACTGGCAACTGTGATAGAACACTGTGATGACGTTACAGTTTTACCGCAACAGTACTGGACCACGGGGTATGACTACGTTGACTTAGCCCTGGTGAAGAAGCTGTTAGAACAAGGTTCAAAGACAGAGGCTTTAGAACACATGAATGGAACAGGGTTGATTAAAGAAGATGGACTTTTCAACAGGGTCATAGCTTCTATTTCATCTCCTATAGATGAAACCATTTCACTACAGATCCTGAAGAATACTACAAACTTTGGAATGCTGGACAAGGAAACCTGGAGACGTATGAAATCGAAACCAAAATTCTTCAAAACTTGTTTCGAAACCACCTCCTCTCCAAAGTTGAAACATGAACTTCAATCTATCTATCTATTAAAGCTGATAAAGTCGGGGAAGCTGTTATCGGCAAAGCAACACGTCAGACGTTATATTCAAGATGTAGCGCATTGGAGTGTTTCGCCGCTGATATCACTTGTACTGGTTACGAAGGATCAGGTACTCTGTGGAGAGATGTTGAGAAATATGACACCTTCTACTCGAAACATCTTTTTAGACCTTGGTTTAAAAAGAATATATTCGGATATGAAGAGATGCAAAGAAGTCGTATCTCCAGAATCACAATTACCGCAGGTTGAGTGGCTATTGAAATGTTGTAATTACAAACTTTCAGATGCAACCTTTGAAACGCTTTGTTCGTTCTTGTCAACTCTGCCGCTAGAAGCACAAGCTTCCCTTTTGCAAAGAATATCTGGACCAAGTGCATCTGCCTACTTATCATTTATCAAACGTTGTAAATCTGTTCTTGTTGTTAAATCATTGATCCAACAGAGAAGATTCCGGACACGTGCAGAGAAGAGTGCATTGTGTAAAGTTATTGATTTACACTTGTCATTTACTGATATCAAGTACCTGTTTGGAGAGTTGGATTCAACTGACTATAACTCTTTGCATCCAAAATATGTGCATTGTATTCTAAAAAAGGATCATCTGCCAAAGGCTCAGAAATTCTTGGAGAGTTATCCAAATGAAACCTCGAAATTAATGTTAAACAACCATTTGGCAATCTCTGAACCGCTGCAATTAACAAGATCAACGGAGTGTCAATCCAGCAATGAAAAACTTCAAGTTGAGACGTACAACAGACTTTTGGATAACTCAAGACTCTACATGGACCGTACTCTACGGTTCGGCTTGAAGCAGTTGAAGAGAAACCACAAGATGGATCAAAAGACGTTGTGTATACTCGTATTGAAGCAGTGTGTGGAGAGAACAAAACTTTGCAACAGGGGGTCTATCGTTATGAACGAACGTTTGAAATGGGCACTTTCTCAATGTGACCGTTATAACGTTCCTTCTGGTGTCATTGAAGGGATTATGAGTTGATCAATTAACCCCAGCATTGACGTATTTATTTATTTATCTGCATCCACTATTTATTATTTATTGGGGTTCTTTTATCATGTCCCCTCTATTTATCTCATTTCTTATTTATTGTCTACATGGTCATTCACTGGAATGAAACATCACTAAAGTGTTATAAATGCATGCTATTTGGTGATTTAAAACTATAACCGAATATGTTGACGTTGAAGTTAAGCGTTAGCTGATACTTGAGAGATGTGTTGAAGAAGATCAACAACTCTTGCAGAGTACCCGTACTCGTTATCGTACCAAGCAAGCAACTTGAAGAAGTGAGGGTTCAACTCCAAACCAGCCTTTGCATCAAAGATGGATGATCTTGAGTCACTTGTGAAGTCTGAACTCACAACGAATTCATCAGTGTAACCCAACACACCCTTGAGCTTACCCTCTGCGGCTTCTTTGATAGTTTGTTTGATCTCGTCGTATGACGTTGCCTTGTTGACACGGACTGTAAGATCCACGATGGAGATATTTATCGTTGGAACTCTGAGAGAGATACCTGTGATTTTCCCCTTGAGTTGTGGGATAACAGCAGCAACAGCCTTCGCAGCACCTGTTGAAGAAGGAATGATGTTACCTGGGGCAGAACGACCACCTCTCCAGTCCTTTCTTGAGGTACCGTCAACCAACTTTTGAGAGGCAGTGGCTGAGTGAACCGTTGTCATCAACGCATCCAAGATCTCAAACTTGTCGTTAATGACTTTGACCAAAGGAGCCAAACAGTTCGTCGTACAAGAAGCGTTAGAGACAATGGTCATCTCTGGCTTGTACTCGCTCTCGTTAACTCCAACGACGAACATTGGGGCAGTCTTGGAAGGAGCAGTAATGATAACCTTCTTAGCACCGCCAATGATGTGCTTCTGCGCAGAATCCAGCTCTTTGAAAACACCTGTTGATTCGATAACGTAATCAACTCCCAACTCACCCCAAGGAATGTTCACCGGGTCGGTCTCTCTGTAGAGCAGCACTCTCTTACCGTTAATGATAAGAGCCTCATCATCGTGCTCCACGGTACCTGGGAACTTACCGTGTGTGGAGTCGTACTTGAACAGGTACGCAGCGTACTCAGTATCAGTGGATGGGTTGTTGATGGCAACCATGTTGATGTTCTCGTTCTTTGGGTCCGTGAGAATGTTTCTAAGGACAAGACGTCCGATACGGCCAAAACCGTTGATACCGACTGTGATTGGCATTGTATTCAATTGATCAATTTGACTTGCTGATGGACAGAGCAAACTACACCGAAAAAACAAAAGAAGCCCAAGCGAGGACCCCTTCTAAAACAAGACAAGTGGACTATCTCCAACCTTTTATACTAGAATTTTTTGGCCCTCATGGGGGAACAAGAGGCACAACAGATGACATCAAATGACAAGGGAAAAAGCTCAACATTTCCCCGGACAAATGCCTCAATGTACATATGTACCGGTTACTGAATTGGCCCTTTAGAGTTGTACTAACCGCATCACTCGTCCTCATGCTTGAGCGTGGGGGAGGCCAAGCTCAAAGCAACGTACACGGGACAGAAAGGGAAACAACCGGGTCCTCTGCTAAAAACAGCGGGTGGAACAAGCTCCTGGTCTGGTCGAGACACGCGCGAAATGTAAACCATTTCGTATTTGGCGCACAACCCCGGACCTGTGCGCTACGCTTTGACGGCTAAATTAATTCCGGGAGTCGGGTCCAACTTTTCTGTGGTGTTGGGGTTTAAACTCTAGGGAAAAAATACAAAAGATAACGCCGGGGTCTGTGATTGGCCGGAGTGCGATAAACTCTAACCCTATTTCTCAGATTACATAAACATCCAGACACCGTTGTTTACATTGCACACACACTTCAACAGCACTCTATACACTGCCAACGTGGTGGAAAGGAACTTCCCTTCCGCCATCCAATGAGCTTGTTTCTGTTTCAAACCACCTTGGATCTGCCTTCAACTGCATCAACGACAACACTCCAAATGTTTGCAAGCGCATAGCGTGCGGTTGCATCGAAGTTCTCCTTGGTGCTCGATGCCATGTGCGGCGTAAGGCTCACGTCGCATCTGTTCAGGAGCCTTGGATCAATCGCTGGTTCGTGTGTATAGACATCCAGGCCTATCCAGGCGATCTTGCCCTGTTGTAACCGTTCTATCGCGTACGACTCGTCAATGACGAACCCACGTCCAACGTTGATCACCTTACAGCCAGGGGGTAGCAGATCGATCTTGTCTCGGCTAACAAGGTTCCTGGTTGAATCATTGCCTGGGCAGCTGATGACCAAGACATCGCTCTGCTTGCACAGCTCTTCTAGCTCCGGCTCATATGTATACGAACTGTCCTTGTTCTCGTTCCTCTGGGTATAGACGACTCTCATACCCAGGGCTTGGACCCTTTTCGCAATACACTGACCAATACGCCCCAGCCCTATGATACCACACGTCTTGTTGAACGGGGAACGTGCCAGCTGTCCTCCAGCGTATTCACCGAACGGGAACGCGTTTTTCAACCACTGGTCTGTCTCGACGCCTAATTTGCCTTGCAAATGATCATACCCTTTGGTTTGTAGTTGTCTTCTTGCCTCTATGACATGGCCAGTGGAGTGTGCCCTGGTTTCAAACCTCTTGAAGAACCTGAAAGACTCCAAGATATGCCACAGGACGGTATCACCAACATCTTCGGCTCCAAGTGATGGTGTGTTGTATAGCTGAATCCCTCTGGCTGCCAATTTCTCATGGTCGTACTGTTCATGTCCAACAGAACATATCGCAATGACTCGCAATGTGTCTGGAAGATGGTCAATCAATTCACCTTTCATACCGCCAAGAAGATGAAATCCAAGCCATGCTCCGTATATGGCAACGATGTCGTTAAACTCTGAATGGAATTTATCGATGAGTTCCTCTCTTGTCGTCAACTTGTAATGCTGAAACAATTTGGTTAGTTTCGTGGCAACGTCTTGGATTCATTATATGAACTTACAATACATTCAAAGTGCTCTTTGAATCGAAGATACTCCTCGAGAGTCTCGTCAAGATCACCAACGAATAACACTTTTGGCTTTGTCATTGGGGATTCAATGTGCCGAGGATATAGTACTCCTTGGTTTCGATGAGGCATGAGGAGAAATGATACCGCTCCTCGAAAATTCACCCCGAGAAACTTGCTATGCAGCAAACACCTGTTCGCCACACATCAAGTCTTTCCAGAGAGTGACAAACTGAACCAATTACACACTTCTAGCTCTACGTTACGAGAAAAGATGAGGGTTACGGAGAAAACTTATCGTATTGGACCATTGTGGGTTCTGCATTTAGTCGAACGCTGTAATGGAGTCCATGAAGAATGGTTCTATGTATGTATATAACAGAAGAAAAGCAGATTCAAGTCGTAAAGGGGGTCATTAGTAAACAAGTGAGACGCTTAGTCGTCCTCAACAATGGTACCCTTTTCAGAGACATAGATACCATCGAGGAACTTTCTGATATCTTTGTTTCTAACACGACAGATCTGTTGAACATCAGCACAAGTCTGAGAGACATCCTCAACAGAGTTACCAGAGAGAACAATCTCATCCTTTTGGTTGGCGGAGAACTCAACATCAACACCTTCTCTCACCTTAACCAGTCTAACTTGCTTGTCACCCAAAAAGTTTCTGATCTCGATGTACTTGTCACCATCCTTGTCAATAGTGTTCACATTGATTGGGAAATGCGCATAGACGTATCTCATCTTGTACTTGTAACCCTTGGTGACACCGGTGATCAAGTTGGCGATCAAAGACTTGACGGTTCTCAAGGCAGCAACGTGCTTTCTGTCACCGTTGTGGACAGTGATCTTGATCTCCTTGTTAGAGACCTTGGTGAAAGTAACATCAATGTGTCTCAAGTTCTTAGAGAGGGTACCTCTTGGACCAGTAACAGTGACAAGTCTGGACTTGATTTGGACTTTAACACCCTCTGGAATGGCCAAGGATTGATCGGTTCTGATGTACTTCATTGTTGTCTAATTTGGGGGTATTTGTTTGTTGTTGCGTTTGTTTTCGTTGAAATAAAATGAAAAAAGTGGAAAAAAAACTTTTCACCTCTTCAGAAAATTTTGTTTGGCGTTTTTTCGCAGTCCTGTTGATGTCCGGATGTTGAGATGTTGGGATGTTTTATGACGCAGCGAAGACTCCAATCCTTTGTATACAGACAACTGTTGATAAGCGTCCATTTACTAAACTGATAATTGGTTAAAATGGTGTAGAAATAATGTATTAATTGGTATTGAGGGTGTATGTTCTTAATTGAACTTCAGTCTCATCAATATCCACCATCAAGGAGGCTGCAGTGACACCTCGTGTGCCCGAAGAACAAAGCCACTTCCTGCAATATTCTCTGAACTGGTACTACTGACTTGTTGTGAAGCTGTAGCAGATGAGAAGTGCTCAGATTTTGTAAATCCATAGGCAGAGGATGGGAATACCGGGATCGTCTTGGTGGCCTCATGTACTGCTTCTAAGGATAGGGATTTATTATCAGAAGCATTGTTTATAAGGGTTTCATTGTTATAATTTCCATTTTCGCCCTTCGATGGCACCCACCATTTGGAAGTCAGCTGTGATGTTGTTGCTATTGTTAATTGGGCCACTTGTACTTGAATATTATCGTAAGCAAACACGACATACGTATTAATCAAAAAAACGTCTCCCCGAGTAGTTGGAGAACTGGTCACTATGAGTGATAAGCACCTTGATGCTCACAATAGTTTGCACCTGGTGACTCAGAAAAGATACTCGTAACCCGCGTAATCCCAAAACTGTTATCTTGGGGTATCAAAGGTTTGGTGGTCCATGTCAAAGGCCCCATAAATTCCACAAGGATGGCCTCTATGAATAAGAAAGTAACTGTACCACCACCATTTGGTGGCGCAGTAAAGATTGAAAAAATCGTTAGTCATAAATCACTTGAGCCTGTATCCAATTGAACAAGGAATTCCAAGTCTGAAACTGTGATCTTGTTGGTATTGTAATAATTCATCGTCATAGAGGAGATCACAGCGTACATTTTGGATATCTCTTTAGGCTAATTTAGGTCTCTTCTCTGCAATTGCAAATTCCCTCACTCTCAAAACAGCGAACTTGAGCGGTTTAATGGTTGTTTCCACAATGGCCAAGGCTATAAATGCTAAACCTGTGAAGAGTTGACATTCTCATAGTTGAAAGAATAGCCAAATATTAACTCCTGTAATCAGTTAATAAGGCTTAAAAAAACTTGGCAGGACCGACTGTTATGTAATGCTTTGTAAGTCAGCATATAGAGTCCAGTCGTATTTAGACTCTAAGATATGTATCTCGTACGTAAGTTCGTAAGGAAATATGTAATAACTGGCAGAAACTGTCTGTGATGTGCCCTACCATGTATATCCCGCGTTGTTCATTTCTCAAACAACGTTCTTTAAAGTTGGGTCTTTGCATTAAAGGACTTCTTTACATCTACATGTCTAGTTTTTTCCAGGATTAAACGATATAATCAACAAACGTGTATCATTACGAATAACTGAAGGGGTAAAAGTCCAGAAGGGCCGAAAACTAACGATGTATTAGCCATAGGGTAGCTTATGATTTCCAAGCATGCGCAAGGAGCTGAGCCACCATTTTGTACATCAGATTTTGCATGACTTCTAACAAGCGAGAGTTGTATATTTGTATAGCCTCAGTCATAGATATATAACAAGCAGAATATACAAGTATAATCACAGTTCCTATCATAGACATATGAGGTCACCTTGCCCATCATGTGATTCTTTGGGAGTAATACAAGGGTAATTTTGTACATGGAAACTTGTAAATGATATACAGGAGCACAGCATCTGTTGAAGCAATTTGGCACCATTTAATGAGGATGGCATTGCAAACAGTCAAGTGCTGAAAAGATCATAGGACAGCTACAATTCGTGTTTCAAATAAACGGTGGAACATTCCCGAGTCCAGTTTACTGTGTACACTCACTGTGCGTCTTATAGGAAACGAATAAGTGGAAAGACAACAGAAAAGTATACATGCTGATTAATAATTTCATAATCAATTTCCAATGGCGGATTATAGAAGGTTGTTGCACCATGCACCAACGATATGCCAGACACATGTCCTATTGGGACCAAGTGGGCATCAGTTTTGAGCAGTTTGGTATGCTGAGCAAATTGCAGCAGAATACACTGTACATATACTGTTTTGGTATATGTTTCGTAATGGCTCATAACATTTGGCCCTCTAGACATGCCTCAACAACTCGATAATCTATATGTTCTGGCAGTCTCACTACTACTCATGAATCTTCATCACAGTAGTCGTAATATATAACAGTACAAACAGGTGCTAATCACCAATTCTGATCTCTGCAGGCTGTATATTTGGCCAATACGTGACATGCACCTTGCGCACATCCATCTGACTTTGGTCCCAGGCTTACGAAAATACGCAAGGTAGTCATCGCCTGAAGCTGTGGTCAGATCTAAGCAATGAGGACAGATCTGTAAAAAGTGGGCAAACTTCGCTGCAGAAGTACAGAACATGGCAGTTAGTGATCATTCGAGATCACGGATCTAACTTTTCAAAACAAAGAATTGTTGTTATTATAGACACAAGTATGTAGTGCTGGCCACAATGTATGATTGACATGAGGGCTGCCGAATTGAATCATGGTTATTATATGGATAAATTCTTAGATCCAATTCTATTTATAGGGCCCTCTTAGTGCAAAGTACATTCCTTCGACTATCAAATACACAAATACTAAAGGGATGGGAGGTCGAATTCAAGTCCCTGTTGATTAATTGCTGTTGAAATTAGTACAGTACAAATGTGCCATAAATGACTTCGTCGTATAGCCTTGGAAGCACTATTATTTTTAATGAATTTCTAGGGTTTCGGTGTTTAGAACATTCAATTGGCTCATTATTCTATGGTTATCCAATTGTTAGTTATATATCATCGCTCGTGATTATTGTATGATCTATCAAATTCGCAACGGAGAAGCACTCGGCACATACAAATCGGCCTTTGATTATATTGGTGCTGCCCGTACCGTGCTGCCCTAAAACGAACGTACTTCCCTACGTAAGTATATACCCTTCCTGCAATGGAGAAACCATCTGTCGCTAATGGCTCCCCCACTGTAGGCTTGGGTATAGTTTACGTAGGCTAGTTGGTGGACCATCCTGGTGGATACCATACAACTGCATCTGTATGTAATCCCTCCAGGTGGTCCGAGTCCTATAGACTTCTATAAACTTCTATAAACTTCTGCGTGTGTCTGGAGACTAATGCTTGACTCAAGTGCTCAACTAAAGTCGAAATCTGACCATCAGAGTGAACTTTACATGCTTGACCAGAGCACTGTAATTCACCATGAGTCGTCGTTGATCTCAACTTTCACTCGCCTCACAGATCGTGCCTCAGACCTCAGACCTCAGACCTCAGACCTCAATCATCACTTCCCGAACTGCCATGCACTTGCTTAGATGTATAGGGCTTGTGAACAAATATTCAGGCACCTGTGAGTTCAATCATCCTGACCAGGGAAGAATGAACAATGGCAACCACAATTTGTATGACATCTTCCAACACAACCTCCACATCCAAGGTACACATCGTAACTCCTCTTCTGTATGTAGCTCTTCCTCATGTGAACAAAATCCATAATCAGGTTTCTCCAACAAGCAAAGGTTGACCAGACCTCGGCTTGTTGTAAGTCACCATCATAGAGATCTCACTTGGTTTCTGCAGCTGTTTGTACACCCTGTTGCCCTCACTCATCATGATCTTGTCGTAATTCAACTTCGCAAGAGGGAGACCAGTATGCTTCTTCTAGCATATGAGTAGTGCTGGTACAAGGCAACAGTTCATGGTATACGTCCTTGCTTCATATCACTCTCTGAATGACACCTGGTTGAGCACTGGGTTCAGTCGAAGGAGTGGCTCAAGAGCACAGAAAGCTGTCCATCCAGTAGAAGCTGTCCACACTTCCACTGGCATTCTGCGCTCAAGATCAACCTTCAACATCACCACAGGTATCAAACCCTGAGTCTCACCATCACACTCCTACTGTTCTTCTGACTTGAGTCCAAAGAACTGCGGTAGAAGTGGTAGATGTGGTAGAAGTGATACCCTTGAGCTGTTTATGGAGGAAGTACTTGGGAAGGAGGAAAAGTGGGAAACAATTCCAAACAGATATTC